GCAGCAGCAGGAGTCAGGGAATCATGGAATGGTTTGGGTTGGAAGGGACCTTAAAGCCCATCCCATTGCACCCCTGCCATGGGCAGGGACACCTGCCAAAGACCAGGTTGCTCCAACCTGGCCTTGGACACTTGCAGGACCATCTCCCTTTCCTTGCTGCTAGAAGCTTTGTATTCCCAGGGTAAACTGGATTATTTTAGGAGTGAACACATTAAAACTGGGGTTAGATTCTCCCTTGGACGGAGGTTTGTGGATCTGTCTGAAACAGCAGTGTGCACTGGTTCTTTGGGTTTGTATTAGAAAATCCTGGTTCACTGTCTGAATTCAGGGCCTTCAGCAACTCCCTGAGGTTGGGTTCCTGATCTCTCACACTTCCCAGCCTGATCTCTGTCCTTTACAGGATCCAGGTTTTGTTGAACTTCTTAGTGAAAGCTGCTGCTTTTGTCATCCAAACTCTGGGATAATCAGCTCAGCTCAGTGGGGAGACTGATGCAGGGATTAAAGTGTCAACCTGAAAGTGTTGATACTGCAAAACATCCTTTTATTGATTTGAGTAAAACCCCCACGATCTGTGATTTTCATCACTCACAGGTGTACAGCTCTTTGAAGAAGACCCATGGGAGCAGCTCAGGCTCGGCGTGTCCTGCTCTCCCAAACTCTTCCTCTGCCACGGCTCGGATTTCCAGTGTTCCCCCTGAGCACAGCCCCTCTCCAGCTGGGATCTGCCGTGTTCCCGGGGAGCACAGCCCCTCCCCGGCTGGGATCTGCCGTGTTCCCGGGGAGCACAGCCCCTCCCCGGCTGGGATCTGCCGTGTTCCCTCTGAGCACAGCCCCTCTCCGGCTGGGATCTGCCGTGTTCCCGGGGAGCACAGCCCTTCCCTGTGCATCCTGGCGGACAGCCGGGAGGTCTGCTCGGGGCCGGAGGTGCTGTCGTGCCTGCGGGCCGTGCACGGGCTCCGGGTGCAGGTCTGCTCCCTGGGCACCAGCGATTACATCGTCAGCAACCGCCTGGCCGTGGACAGGGTGCTCCAGTCGGAGCTGCAGAGCCCTGGGAACAGGAATAAACTCAGCCAGAGGCTGCAGCGCCTGCAGGGCATCTTCGAGAGGATCTGTGTGATTGTGGAGACAGACAGGGTCAGGCCAGGTGGGTGCTGCCAGAATACCCTGCTCTGAGGGACACAGGGAATGGGTCCCACTGCCAGAGGGCAGGGATGGATGGGAGATTGGGAACTGGGAATTGCTGGCTGGGCTGGAATTGCCAGAGCAGCTGTGGCTGCCCCTGGATCCCTGGCAGTGCCCAAGGCCAGGCTGGACACTGGGACACCCTGGAACAGTGGGAGGTGTCCCTGCCGAGACAGGAATGGGATGGGATGGGATCGGTTTTAAGGTCCCTCCCACCCCAAACCATTGTGCGATTCCATGTCAGGAGCAAGCACAATTTTATTCATGCACAGGCATTTGTTTTAATCCAAAAATCCAAAGCCTGCAATGAAATGATTCCACTAGACAATAACAGTATCTTGCTTTCCTGTGCTTCCACTCACTCAGGAGAAACATCCCGGTGTTTCCAGAGGACCCAGTACTACGATGGAGTGCTCTCAGCCTTGGTGCAGGCTGGAATAAAGATCCTCTTCAGCTCCTGCCAGGAGGAAACTGCAGCTTTGCTGAAGGAGCTGGCTCTGCTGGAGCACAGGAAGGACGCTGCCATCCAGGTGCCAACGGAGCCAGAGGGGCACCGGCGGGACATCCTCAACTTCTACCTGAGCATTCCCAACCTCAGCTACGGAGCTGCCCTCAACCTCTGCCACTCCTTCGGCTCCATCACAGCCGTGGCCAACAGGTAGGGCCAGCACAGGGCCTGGCAGGGGCTCCAGGGCCCAGCCTTCCCTCCTTCTGCTCCCCTGGAGCCAGGGAGAGCCTTCCTGCACCTTTCCTGCTGGGATAGCTGCTCAGGGAATCCCTTCCTGCACATTTCCTGCTGGGATCATTGCTCAGGGATTCCCTTCCTGCACCTTTCCTGCTGGGATCATTGCTCAGGGATTCCCTTCCTGCACCTTTCCTGCTGGGATAGCTGCTCAGGGAATCCCTTCCTGCACATTTCCTGCTGGGATCATTGCTCAGGGATTCCCTTCCTGCACCTTTCCTGCTGGGATCATTGCTCAGGGAATCCCTTCCTGCACATTTCCTGCTGGGATAGCTGCTCAGGGAATCCCTTCCTGCACATTTCCTGCTGGGATCATTGCTCAGGGAATCTCATCCTGCACCTTTCCTGCCAGGATCATTGCTCAGAGAATCCCTTCCTGCACCTTTCCTGCTGGGACAGCTGCTCAGGGATTCCCTTCCTGCACATTTCCTGCTGGGATCATTGCTCAGGGATTCCCTTCCTGCACCTTTCCTGCTGGGATCATTGCTCAGGGAATCCCTTCCTGCACATTTCCTGCTGGGATAGCTGCTCAGGGAATCCCTTCCTGCACCTTTCCTGCTGGGATCATTGCTCAGGGATTCCCTTCCTGCACCTTTCCTTCTGGGATAGCTGCACAGGGAATCCCTTCCTGCACCTTTCCTGCTGGGATCATTGCTCAGGGAATCCCTTCCTGCACCTTTCCTGCTGGGATCACCGCTCAGGAAGAGCCTTTCCCACCCTCTCCCAGGAGCTTTCCTGTTCCATCCCAGCTCTTTGCATTCCTGTCTCTCCCGCTGAGCAGCCCAGGGCACTGACAAGGGCTCTGCTTCCACCCTCCCTCCTGCTGCCCCACGCTCTCTTTCCCTCGGCATTCCCTGTTTTCACTGCTCAGGTGTGCTGCCAGCCCTCGGGCACCTGTGCAGGGGTGACCGCAGCAGCTCCCGGTGCTGCCCCATCCCGGGCAGCGCCTCCCGGGCTCCCGGTGCTGCCCCATTCCGGGCAGTGCCTCCCGGGCTCCCGGTGCTGCCCCATCCCGGCTCCAGGGGCTCCCGGTGCTGCCCCATCCCGGACAGCGCCTCCCGGGCTCCCGGTGCTGCCCCATTCCGGGCAGTGCCTCCCGGGCTCCCGGTGCTGCCCCATCCCGGCTCCAGGGGCTCCCGGGCTCCCGGTGCTGCTCCATCCCGGCTCCAGGGGCTCCCGGTGCTGCCCCATCCCGGGCAGCACCTCCCGGGCTCCCGGTGCTGCCCCATCCCGGCTCCAGGGGCTCCCGGTGCTGCCCCATCCCGGCTCCAGGGGCTCCCGGTGCTGCCCCATCCCGGCTCCAGGGCTCCTCCCGTTCCCTCTCTTGCAGCTCGGTCCCGGCGCTGGCGGCGGGGGCGCGGCTGAGCCGGCCCCAGGCCGAGGAGCTCCATCGGTTCCTGCGCCACGACTTCGACCTGCAGCTGCTGCCTCAGCCCCTGCCCGCCAAGGGGAAGAGCTGAGCTCGGCACTCCGGGCCCTGCACTGCACTTTGCCCACTCGGGATTGGATGTAAATGATGTAAATAAACGCTTGTCAAACCTCAGGGTGTGGGAGCTGCACCGCCCCGGGCGTCCCCAGGGTCCCCGGGCACAGCTCTGGGGTGATCATCCCCAATTCCTGTGAAAACCACGATAATGGTTGGGGTACTTTGGCAAAGCTTTGGGCAGTGACGGCCAGGAGCCCAGCAGCAGCTCCTGCCATCGCTGCAACACCACCCCGCGTTTCCAGCTCGAACGGGAATTGCCGTACTTTGGCAAAGCTTTGGGCAGTGACGGCCAGGAGCCCAGCAGCAGCTCCTGCCATCGCTGCACCACCCCGCGTTTCCAGCTCAAACGGGAATTGCTCGGTGTTCCCGGGACAGGGGTGGGGTTCCGGGGGCCCCGGGCAGCGCGGCCGCGTCCCTTGGTGCCTCTGCCCGGGCTCAGGTGCCCGATCATTCCCCAGCCCCGCCGCCGCAGCCTCTGCTGCCACCAGCTGGAAAAGGATCGGGATTCCCGCTCCGGGCAGCAGCACGGCCCGGCCAGAGGCTGGGACAGGGAGAAATCCATCCCTGGAACAGGAGCTGTCCTGGGCAGCCGGGTCAGCCACGGCCCCGCTCAGGGGAGACACCTGCAGAGCTGGCCCAGCCCTGGAGAGCGTCCAGAGGAATCCACGGAGCTGCTGCAGGGCTGGAGCCCCTCTGGAGCCAGGCTGGGAGAGCTGGGAATGTTCCCTGGAGAGAAGGCTCCAGGGAGAGCTCAGAGCCCCTGGCAGGGCCTGGAGGGGCTCCAGGAGAGCTGGAGAGGGACTGGGGACAAGGGATGGAGGGACAGGACACAGGGAATGGCTCCCACTGCCAGAGGGCAGGGATGGATGGGAGATTGGGAACTGGGAATTGCTGGCTGGGCTGGAATTGCCAGAGCAGCTGTGGCTGCCCCTGGATCCCTGGCAGTGCCCAAGGCCAGGCTGGACACTGGGACACCCTGGGACAGTGGGAGGTGTCCCTGCCATGGCAGGGGGGGCTCTGGGTGGGGGTTAAAGGTCCCTTCCCACCCAAAGCACTCCATGATTCCAAACCAAGAGGATGAAGCCTTGCAGGCACCATTCCAAGCTGGACAGCTCCTGGATTCTGCTGCCCCACAACATCTGAGTAATCTGTGAGTAAAAAAGCTTCTCCTTGTTTATTACATTAAGGAAAAGTAAAAATTCAAGCTTTCCCTAGAGTAAATTAAAAAGCAATTTCAGTTCCTTCTGAACTGCTGCTAAATTTATTATACAGCCCTATCCCAGAAGATATTTTAGCTTAAAGTGAATCAGAACTTGGCAGTCATTGGTATCTATGTACATTCCTCCTTCCCAGGAGAAACAGGACAAGGAGGGGGGAGTCTGGACAAGGAAATGCCAAGCATTGCCAGCAGGATGGGAATGGAGCTAAAACATATAAAAACACAGCAGGGCAGCTTTTCCAAACTGAAATCATTCCAGCGTTCCCTCCCAGAGGGGCAGCAGAATCCCCGTGCTCTGAACTAGTGCTGAACAGCACATCCATAAAAGTCCATCACATGGAAAAGTAGGAGGTGCTGAGCAAGACATCCACAAAGGCCATCACATGGAAAAGTAGGAATCCTTCTCCTCCTCACTGGACACGTCTGGAGTCTCAGCTGCGAAGAGCTTCCCCACCAGCGGGGCTGGGGTCACTCCTGCAAGAAAACCAGGGATCAGCAGGGGATGGCCCAGTGGGAAATGGGGGCAGAGAAGGTTCAGAGAGCAAAAGGCTGATGGGACACAGCTCATGGTGATGGAGAAGGAAGGGAGGGAGCTGGAAGTGAGGAGGAGGAGGCAGGAATACTCACTCTTGGTTCTGCAGGAAGGCGGTGTCTCGAGCACGGGTCTGGCCTGAGGGAGGGAAGGAAAGAGGCTCAGCCAGGGCTGGCACCAGCTCCGGGTCCCCATTTCCCAGAATTTCCACAACTGCATTCCCTGAACCACAGGCACAAGCTGCTCCCAGGATCACAGGGTTTTATGGAAAAGCCAAAGGAGCTGCAGAGCCTGGCAGTGGAGGAATCAATACCTCATTCAGGGATACAAGGTTCACCTATGGTCACTGCTAGGAGTCAGACTGGGTGATCCTTGTGGATACCTCAGGATATCCTGTGGGTATTGTTCCTTTTCCCACTGTTCAGAAGAATTTAACAAGAACCTAAAGACCACGGAATTCCACAGCAATTCCAAACCCTGACTAAAAGCAACGGAGTTAATCCTGACAATGAAGAGCTCCCTTCTCACAAAGGAACTTCTCTCCACAGCAGCAGCTACCAAAGGCAGGCAGGGTTCCCATTTTCCATGCAGAGCACACGGGGGGCTGTGATCCCAGGATTGTGCCTGGCTCAGGTGGCAGTGGGCAGAGTCCAAGGAAAGCAGCATTACCGGCTTCTTGACCGTGTCCCAGGTGCCTCTGTTGCCCTGCATGTTCTTCTGCATGCGGAACACGTGCCGGTCGTAGTCATTCCTGGGACACAAGGGAGCAGGGCTCAGCGGGGCTGGAATGCTGCCACGGAACCCTCTGCATGCAGCCAGGGAGCCCACAGGCAACGAGCAGGGCTGGATCACAGGCTGCACGCACCAGTGCAGGGATCACAGCAAGCCTCATCCCCTTCCCGGGCCCAGCCGTGTCCGTGGCACAAAACCCCAGTGGCTCCAGGTTCCCAGATGGCTCCGGATTTGGAGCAGAGCCTGAAGCCCTGGGTGAACAGGGCAGGACTGAAGGCTCTGCTGAGGCTGAAGGCCATTCCCAGGGCTCGGAGCAGGAGCTGCCCACAGGGAGCTGACCAGCTCCAGCAGCACGTGGAGCTCCAGGGAAGAGCTTCTCCCAGGCAAACCAAGGCTGCAGGAGTGGCTGGAAGTGAGCTGCTGTCCCAGCTCCACAGCCACCTTTCTCAGAGACAAAAAGGGATCTTGGGGCAATGCCAAGGTTCACAAAGGGCTGGTGGAGGAGCTCCTACCTGTTGATGGGGACCAGCATTCCCGGGCTGATGTGCTCACACTGTGGAGTTTTCACAGGGGGAAAGAGGCCTGAGGAAGGGGTGAGTGGGAACTCTGAGAGGGCGAAATCCTCGGTGTCCCCGTCCTGGCTCCCTCGCAGCGCTGGCAGCTGTAGAGCCACCTCAGAGCTGTCAGTCACCTGAGCCTGGTGTTCCTCTCTCCCCCTCCCTGCCCTGGATCTGACTCCCCCTGTCCCTGCTGAGGCACAGCTCCAGCCCCGTGCCCAGAACTGGGCACGACCCTGCACCTCCGCCTTGGTCCGAGTGCCCCTCCAGACCTGCCCCAGCACTTGGCTGAGGGGTTTTGGTGCTGCCACACCCTCAGAAAGTCATTTCTGGTTACAATCCCAAGCTCCAAGCTGCCCAGGACTCCTCAGAAGGATGATTTCTCAGGTGGTGCTGTCAGCATGCAGAGCACCCTCCCAGCCTGTCCACTGCCACCAGCCAAGGGCGGCTACAGCACGTGAAGTAAAGAAGGATCTTCCCAAAGAACCCCAGGATTGTATTGGTGGAACTGGAGCAGCTCCCAGCACAGCCAGCAGGAGAGCAGTCCCACAGGAGCTGTCCCAGGTTTACCTGGACCATCCTCTTCTGGAAGGGCGTCGCGGTGAAAACGTCGTCGTGGTTGTCCTTGGGCAGGTGCTCCAGGAACTCCCTCATCTGCTGCTTCCGTTTGAGGGTGCCCACCTTGGCAGTGATCTCTGGCTCCTTCTCATCTGCAGGATCCAAACAGGAATTGTCTCAGACAGCAGCCACGGGGTTAAAATTCACTGCCTGCAGTCAGTGCCACAGCCCATTCTGTCCTCTGGTGGAATCTCTTACAGCTTCTTGAGGATCCTTTTGAGTGCTCACACAATTGTTGCTTTCCAAAGCAGTTTCCCCACTCCACCTTGAGAGGAGGGTCACTGCAGAGCCTCCCAGAGCCACTGCAGGTCATTGTGACTGTGACAGAGCTGTGCCCACGCGTGCCTTGCAGAGAGCAAACCCACAGCTGTGTCCCAGGAGGCAGCAAGGCTCAAAGGCTCAGGGACACTTCTACTGAAGGCAGGCTCAGGAATGCTCAGCTCAACTTGTATCCATGGCAAACCTTAATCCAATCCAGCCCCAAAATGAAGCTGCAGCGTGGGGATGGCAAACAGCAGAGAATGGGACTGGGCTGTGCTGACTCCACACTGTCCTTGGGCATCCAAGAACCCAAATCCCATCTGGACAGAGCTCTGCAAGGAGCTCGTGACCTGCTGGGCCTCCAGGAGACCCTCAGGATGTCAAGAGCTCTTTCCCCTGAGGGGTGAAGGTCATACAAAATCTTCCCCTCATGTCAACAACTGGAAAACTCTACAGGAAGAGAGATTCTTTCCTTTCTCTTGTCACCTCAGTCACTTATGACATCCTCCAACCTCCACCCCAAAAGGTGACCTGGCTCACTGCCACACCCTGATGTGCTCTTGTGGATGTATCCCATGGGAGCAGAATTGGTGAGGCTGGAAAAGCCCTCCCAGCCCATCCAGTCCAACCCTTCCTCAGCACTGCCCCATGTCTCCAAGTGCCACATGCACAGGGCTTTTAAATCCCCACAGGGATGGGCACTCCAACCCTCCCTGGGCAGTGCCAAGGCCTGAGCACCCTTTCCATGGGGAAATTCCTGCTGTGCCCACCCTGAGCTGCCCTGGCCCGGGCCCAGTTCCTCAGGGATTCTCCAACCCTTCCCAGCTCCCTTCCCTTCCCTGGACAGGCTCCAGCCCTCAGTGTCTGCATCAGAATGATTTACCACCCACACAACACCCAGAAAGAAGATGCTGGTACCTTTCTTCTCAGATTTTCCCGACGTGGTTTTCCTGGGCTGCTGTTTGGAGCCTTTCCCCTGCTGCTCCTCCAGGTACTTGCCCTGGCACTCCTCGGCCGAGCGGGACCCCACGGCCATGGCCACCTCCTGCCAGAAGCCGCTCCTGTGCTTCGGGAAGGCCGCGATGGCCCTGCGGGGACGGCACGGGCACAGCGTCACCAGGCAGGGCAGCTGAGGGGCACGGCCCTGCGACCTGCCTGGCAACCACCTGGGCCAGGGGCTGAGGCAACCCGGCTCCGGCCTCTTGTTGCCAGAGCAGCTGGGGCTGCCCCTGGATCCCTGGCAGTGCCCAAGGCCAGGCTGGACACTGGGGCTGGAGCAGCCTGGCACAGTGGGAGGTGTCCCTGCCATGGCAGGGCTGGCACTGGGTGGGATTTAAGGTCCCTCCAACCCAAAGCATTCTCTGATCCTGAGGTGTCTTTTCTTCAGAACAGGCAAATTTGTTTAAACACCTTCAACTGACAGATGTGTCACAAGATAAATTTCCTGCTCACTTGTGCAGGTCCCCTCAGACCTGAGCTCCTGCTCATCTGAAAGAGCTAAACCCAAACTCGGCCATTTTACACTCAGTGTCTAGCAGATATTGCCCAGTGGTTTAAGTAATGGGATGATGGATTAATTAAGCACCCTTGCAGTTAACCTGCCCTTACCAAATCCGCTCACAAAACCACATCATGTTTAAGATGGTACTGCAATCTGGGGAGGGAACCTTCTCCCTCTCACCTGTGGCCTTCACCATATTATAGTGATGTTTCATTTGTGGAGAATAGTAATAGGGAATAATAATTCTAATTATTATTAGGGAATAAAAATAAGGAACTGAATGGGAATATTTCTAATAGGGAATTAAAACACAAAGGAAACCTGGGAACTCATGAATCTGAAGCTCCCCAATCCAGACCATTCAAACCCCTCAGTTTCCCTGAGGGAAACTTTTCCTCCGAACACAGAGTGATCCCTTACTTGTAAAGCTTCTGTAATTCCTTCTCAGACCAACCATCACCCGCCCTTGTAAAAAGTTCCAGAGATTTCTGCCCCTTTGCCTCTGTGGGTTTTGCTGCTGAAGGCCTGGCACTGTTGGAGACTCCATGGCTTGTTTTTTTCAGGGGCACTCTGGCGTCGCTGTCCTCGCTGTGAGCTTCCTCCTTCCTGCTCTCGGGCTCGGTGTCAGAGATGAACCTGCACCCGGCAGGGCTGGCTCTGCCCCGTGTCCTCCTGGCCTGAGCAGGCAGAAGGGAAGCACTGGACTCAGAGGATGTTTTCCCTTCAGAAGGGGGCTCAGACTGCTCACTGGACTGGGACCCACTCAGCCTCACCAGCACATTCCGGGAGGGCTTTCCTGTCCTTTGGCCGCAGGACTTGTTTGCATCGTCCCCGGAACCTTTGGAGCCAGAGCAAGGTTTCCGGTTCTGAGACTCTGATTTTAACACAGATTTCTTTCTCCTCCTGATCAGCAGTGGGGTGTCCTCACTGGACTGCTCCTCCTCATCCTCCGAGGACTCCTGGCTGACGAGAACCCTCTCGTTCCCCGGGCGGCGCTGCTTGGCCGACCGGAGGCAGCTCCTGTAGTCCCTGTGCCCGCCGGGCTCCCCAGAGCCTGCCGCTCTCCTTGCCGCCCTCGGGGCCCTGCTGCCGCGCTTGCTCAGCACCTCGGTCTCTAGGGAAGCCCCCCTGGCAGGGAGCTGGCATTTGGTGCTCGTGCCCCTGATTCCAGGGCCACGCTCCTCGTTGTCCGAAAGGACGCGCCTGTCCCTCCTGCTGCCCGGCCCCGCTCTGGAAGCGGCTCCTCTCTCGCTGCTTTTCCCTGGAAGAGAGGGAGCCAGAGGGGTGCAGGGTGGGTGCTGCTGTGCTTGCAGCACAGGGATCTGCACCCCGTGCAGATGCCAAACTACAAACTCAGAGCTGCTCTCAAGGGCTCTCCGAAACTCTACTGACTGAGCAGGCACATCCCCAAAGCTCTGCTCTGCTCCGGAGAGCTTTTCTGCAGGAAAATTGCAGCTGCTTTAAGAGAGAAACTTCTGCTTTATATTGCACGTTCTTCTCAGGCTTCTAGCACCACCCAAATTCTACTGAAACCAAATTTTTATTGAAAATTTCGTTAATAGGTTTTTTTTGGCCGACATTTCATTTCTTCCATCCTTGTTAAAAAGCAAAGCCAGGCCTCCAGGTCACTGGATTGGGGAACTCCAAAAAGTCCAGATCCCTTCATTTCAATTTCCAGAATGAAATCCCTGCGTTCCCGTTATGTAATTAACAAAGTGATTTACAAACATAGTTCTTTTTGGAGCTGTGAGACTCCACATGAATGCTACTCTGATGACTCTTCAGAGAAAAAGCAGTTGATCATTCAAATATTTGAATAATTTCTTTGCATGAACACACCCAATCCTACTGGCTCCAGCACCCACTCACAATTCCACTGATTCCATCAGTAACTTGAAAATAGAAAAAAAAATTAGTTTTTACCTTTACTTTGGCTTTTTGGCATTTCCCCTCTTGTCTTCATGCCTTCCTTTGGATTATTCTTGGAGATGAACCTGGTCATTCTTTTGGGTTTTTCACTACTAAGCATCTTCAAAATAAAACAATTTACTCTAAAACTAATTTAATCTCCTTTTCTCCAGGCTGAGTCCCTTTCCCAGCTCCCTCAGCTTTTCTCCAGGCTCCAGCCCCATCCCAGCTCTGTTCCCTTCCCTGGAAATGCTCCAAACCCTCAGAGCCTCTCTTGCAGTGAAAGGCCCAGAACTGACCCCAGGATTTGAGGCAGGAGCTCACCAAATTGCTGTCTGATATAATTACCTTTCAAAACACCCCCAATTTTCCCCCCAAGAAAGAATTCCCCATTTTGTCAGATTTAGAGACCACGATTATGTGATAATATGGACATAAGACTATTTTTTTGGTGTGCTTTCTAATATTTTGATCATGATTCCAAGATTTCCTTTCTCTTCAGATGCCTCTAAGAGCTGCACCTGTTCTGTTCCCCACCTGGCCAAGTTTAATAACTCTATTTATGTCACACTCAGGAGGATCTTACCCCATTCAGATGATCCACCCATCCATTTTGTACGGTGACATTCAGATCCTGATCCACAAACTCCCTCTGTCCACACCAGAAGTTCAGGGGGGGTTTGACACGGCGCCCGCTGCGAGTGTAGACACTGCTCGAGCTTCTCCTGGGCCTCTGATTTGGTGTTATGACTGCAAGGGGAAAAAAGCCCAAAGAAAGAAGAGTTTTTTCCCAAATATTGCATGGCAAATTCAGTTTAGCAGATTTCACAAGCAGAGGAACAACGTTGTGTTTAAACTGGACTGAAAGGGAAATGTAAAATGTACCCGAAGTTGTTGTTTTCAAAGCATTGTGATAGAAATAACAGGACTGAAGTAAGAAGCTTCACAAATTATAGAATTTACTGTGGTGAACTTTTTACTCTTACTTTGTTTAGAAGGTTATAAATACTGTGAAAGTTGTTTGAGGAGGGAGAATGTTAAAGAAAAGCTGTCACGTGGAACAGCTGCTCACTGTGACAAACGAGAGTGAAAAATAAATGTGAGTGATGAGAGAAAAGCACAAAAGCTTGTACAGTGCTAGCAAGAAAACCTGATTCCAGCAACAACAAACAGCACAGTGGGGTTTGGGAAAGGCCCACTGGACAAAGACCCCAGAAAAAGTTAAAAGTTAAATCTGAGTTAAACTCCAGAGCTGTCAGTGCCTGTGGCACTCAAAGGCTGAGCCAAACCAGGGGGCTTTCACAGCTATACAGCCATTTCCTGGAAACACAAGCAGCATAATGAACCTTTCCACAAGCCACTCCAGCCAGCCCCAGGTGTCTTTTCCAAAGGAAAGGATTGTTAAATACTCACAGACGTTCTCATGACTCTCTGGTGACACCTCATAGGTGGCGTTCCTCAGTGCAGGTTTCTTTGCTTTGCTCGCTGAGTCTCCTGCAGCTTCCAACACATCAGGTCCCTCCACAGAGTCACTGTTCTCATTTGTCTCCCCACCACTCTCTTGAACTAGTTCTTTCCTGATGGTTTGGAGATTGAGACAGGAAATGATAGCCACTGAGGAAGCTGTTCTTTAACAATCAGCGAAGACATGAAGCCCTGGTGGGCAGGAGCCTGGTGGCCCAGCACAGCAGAGTGGCTTCATGCCCACATCTAAAACATTTCACACTCCTCTGGTGTAATACTCTCAAAAAGTCTCAATGAACACTCAGAACACTGCAGTGATAGACAGTCTCCAAAGAAGTTACCTCCTCCTTTCCTCAAGAAACTCCTCCACGTACTCCTTCCACCTTCTGGAGAAGCCGAATGTGAATTTCTTGATGAAGCGGTAGGGGAAGCCTGAGGGGAGCACAGGGGACATGAGCAGCAGCTCAGCAGGGCTGGCACTCCCCCAGGGGACACAAGGACCCCCCAGAGCCTGTTAAACCCAAACAGCAGAGGAACTGACCCAGACAATCCCATCCAGCACCCTCCAGTCACTCTTAGCTCTAGGAAACCTCTGCAGCACTGGAGCCACTCTGCTCACAAGCCTTACGTTGCTACTTTTCCTTCTCAGAATATTAAAATAGAAACAAATGTAACTTCTTAGCAAAGAAAGTAATAACATCTTCAAGTCAGAGAGCAGCCAGAGAAGGCATTCATCAGCAGGGACCCCAGTGCTGCAAGTGAGAAGGGAACACTGAAATCGCAGTCACTTCTGTGGGCCTGAAAGAGCCAACAGTGAAGGTGTGTTGGGAAAAACTGCTGCAACACGCCTGGGGCACACCTGTGTTAGGGGAAGTAATGCTGAGGGAATGGCTGGAGCTGGAAGTGGGGTGGGGGGTCAGGCTGGAGCTCAGGAAAGGCTCTTCCCCAGAGGGTGCTGGCACTGCCCAGGCCCCCAGGGAATGGGCACACAGAGCTCCAGGAGCCTTTGGCCAGCGCTCTGTGGGCAGGGACAGGGGCTTGGGGCGATGATCCTGGGCGTCCCTTCCAGCTCCTTCCATGATTCCAACTATTTATTCCAGCCATGCCACAGAGTATCTTTGTGTCCTCAGAGCTGCCTGTGAGCACGGACAAGCAGCTCATTCCCAGCCAATGTGCCAGAGGAGCACACAGAGCAAGCAGAGGAGAACAAATCCTGTATTTCCATCTGCATGAAAATCCCATTTCCTTACAAATCCCACATGCTCCAAAGCAAGCTGAAACAGTTTGTAGTTTGCAAGGCATTCAGAATCAGCAGCTCACCTTCCTTCCTCATGGCAGCTGAGTCTATCTTGCCCTGCAGCAGGTAGACAGTTCCCGAGCAGGTCTGCACCTGGCTGTGAGTGACGCGCTCCGTGACGGCGCTGCTGTGCCACAGCAGCTGCTTCATGTCCCTGGCGAAAGACACAACAGAAATCACCTCCAGAAAGGATTGCAGTCTGGAATGCTGACACTCCACGAGGGAGGGGTGGGGATCCCTGCTTTCTGAGGGATTCAGGTGCTGGCAGGATGTGCTCTGGGCTCAGTTCTCCTCTCTTAGCCTGGAACTGACACAGCCCTGCCTCGCCTGACACTGGGGCAGGGGACAAACCGAGCCTGTCACTGCTGCAGGTGTCACTCGGGACAGCAGCTGGACTGAGCCAGCTCATTGCAACAGCCCAGCTTGGATGGGGCTTGGAGAAGCACAGTGGGAGGTGTCCCTGCCCTTGGCACGGGTGGGCTGGACGGGCTTTAAGGTCCCTCCCACCCCAAACTGCCCAGAGCTATTTGATATTTATTTCTCTGAGGCTTTCAGATTATCTCAGCACAGCACTGTGAAATGAGCTCACCAGTAGCTCCCTGGATGCTGGCTCTCCCTCTCTTGCCCACACAAAGGAATTGTCTCTTCCTTGATAAAGCAGTCTAAGCACTGCACCATTAGCTCGTGTTTGGTGTCCATGGTTTACTTTACACTTAAATAATAAACTGGTTCTTACTTCCTTTTCCCTTCCACACAGATTGCCGTGTTTCCAGCCAGCACTTTAATCCTCCAGCTGCTCAGGCAGATGTTTTTCTTTTCCAGAAAAAAAAGAAAAAAGAAAAAAGAAAAAAGGACATAAATAATTTAGAAGCATTTATTAGCCAGCACTCCTCATTGATCAGATCCAATAACAAAAATAACTCTTTCAACATCTTCTAAGCTACAAATCTGGAATATTAGAGGATATCTGATCCTTGGCTCAGTCCTGAGGGTGACTTGGTTTAATTCAGGAAACACATCAAACACTCTTGGCCACGGTGAGGGAGAACAGAACAAGTCCCTTGCAACCCCAGATTTGCCCAGGGAACAAGGGAAGCCTTGGGCAGGTGTGCTTGTGCCACGTTCCCAGGGAACCCCAAGGACCTTCCCAGGACTTTTTCAGAAAGGGAGGAATGCTGCAGGCTGCACACTGCTCTCCTAGGAAAAGATTCTGCTCCAGTTAAATTGGAGCCTGGATGTTCCAGAGGAAAGCCAAGCCCTTCCCCTCTCCATCAGCAGGACACATTCCTGGATGGATTCATTCCCAGCCAGGAAAGGTCTCTCCTCCCTGGATCTGAGCAGGCAGCCAGGAGCTGGCAGGGCCCATGATCACACCATGGCTTGTACACACCAAACCAAAAGTGTTTCTTTTACACAAGAAACCCCAAACCCTGAATATTTGTCATCTTGGAGAACAGGAAAAAAAGGAACCCTTTGCATGGGAAAATATACCGGTAAAATCTAAAGGAGTAACAGTTTCTTCTCCCCTCAGTGTTCCTTGCTTTTGACAAGAAAAATAATAACTTTGAGCTATCAGCCCAGAGGAATTTCTCATTTTCCCTCAAGGATTACTTTCTCCCACCTCTTTGTGTGCATTGCCAGCAGGTTGATCAGCAGGAGGTTTATCCAAAGGGACCTTGGGGTCTTTTGCCCGCTTCTGCTTCCTTGGAATTTGGACTGGAGAGGAGAGCAAGATGTTACAGAAGGGCTGGGAGGGGTTTTCAGGATTAGTCTCTGGTGCCTTTTCCACTGCTGGAGCAGCTGGTTTTTTGCTGGGCTGCAGCTCTCTCCTGTCCTCATGAAGCTCTGTATGTTTTGCTTCTCCATTTCCCCACGTTCCTTTTACCCGACCCCCGTTTTCCCAAGGGCTGAAGTTCACTGGCAAAGGAGTAGCCACTGTACATTGAGACATGTCTTCATCAGCATCTACTTCAACAGATTCCACCACAAAAACATCCACATCGTCCTTATCAGAGTCCACAGCCTCTGCAGGCTCATTCCCTGGCTGCTCAGCACAAGCACGTTGGACTGAAGGATTCCCTACAGTTGTGGAAGGAGGAACGTTCTGCTGGGTTTTGGTTGAAGGTGGTATAGCTGCCCATTTCAAGGGAGAAAAAAAAGGAATAACAAAGAAATTAGGAATATTCAAGCATGGGAACAGGCTGCCCGAGGGGTGGGTGAGACCCATGCCAGGAGGGATTTAAAGCCCTGTGGATGTGGCACTTGGGGACAGGGGAGGGTGCTGGGGAACAGTGGGACTGGAAGACCTCAGAGGGCTTTCCCAAGCTCAGCAGTGCCATGGTTCTCTGCCTGGAGGGAGTTTGTGCTCTCCAGAGCAGCCCCAGTACCTTGCTGCTGCTGCTGCTGCTGCTGCCACTTCACCCGCAGGAAGAACTTCTGGGGGGTTTCCAGCAAGAGAGGCTCTGCTGGGGGCACTTCCTGGGGCTCCGTCCTGGGAGTCTGGGGCAAAACTGGCTCTGGAAGACAACCAGACAAACAAACCCCAAACCCCTTTTGATCTGGGGAAGAAAAACATTTTCATGGAGGCAGAGGGGGGTAATATGATTTTTTAATATGCTTTTTATTAAAAAAAAAAAAAACCCACAAGAAAACCAAAAAGGTTTGGATGGGAAGGGACCTTAAATCCCACCCAGTGCCACCCTGCCATGGCAGGGACACCTCCCACTGTCCCAGGGTGTCCCAGTGTCCAACCTGGCCTTGGGCACTGCCAGGGATCCAGGGGCAGCCACAGCTGCTCTGGGAATTCTGTGCCAGGGCCTGCCCACCCTCATTGCAAAAAAGGGTCACACCCAGCTTGGTGTCAGCTGCAAAGCTGCTGAGGGTGCACTGGATCTCACCATGGATAACAACAATATTAAAGAGAGCCTAGAAAATGCCCCAGTGGGATTTCAAGCCTCAAGCAAGGTTCCATGAACCTTTCCCTCCCCTGCACAGACTGCAAGGAATAGTTAGAGCAGTTTGTCTTGACTTTTTTAGTTACAAGGTGGTTTTGAAGGTGGTGCACGGGTCATGAGCACAGCAGAGGGAACAACTAGTGCCAGGGTGAGGCAGAGGGGGAGGAAACCAAATCCTCTACAACACAGAGCAGGGACGGGACATCAGCAGTGCTACAGACAGATTTCAGCACTAAAAAACCCTCACCATCCAACTGTTTTTAATGCCAGCATCTGGGGTGCAACCAGTGCTGGTGCCAGTGCTTTTTCACAGCCACCAAGGTGCTCTGGCTGCTTCTCCCAGATCCCGAAAGAGCCGTGAGTGGGACACAGAGGGAAAATGTTCACACTTGAGACAGCTCTCCTGGAGAAGCTGTGGAACAATCATTGCTTCCCAAGCGTGCCCAGGCTCTGGACTGGTGGGTGTTGGTGTCAAGGGGCTTTGTCTCTCCATGGAGAGAGGATTAAGGTGTCAAGGGGCTTTGTCTCTCCATGGGCCTTCCAAGGAGAAAGGATTATGGCAATGGGCAGCAGCACTGAGGTGACTCCAGTGTCCTCCAAAATAATAAAACCCGTTTGGGAAAAGGAACTATTAATAACTTCTGTAATTTGGGATTGTGGACTGATGTAGAGAATTAAAATACTTAGGACAACGTGAAAATCAGGGATGTCACTTACTGCAGCACAAGATGCCTGAAAGTTCTATGAACTAAACTCAGGTTCACATCTTTGTGCTTTTTACTCCAGGTATCCTGAAGGCAAACACACCGTTCTCACGGAGTCACCGAGGGCTCGTGGAACTCACCTGGTCCCGGCCGGGCGCTGCCCGCCGCCCGGGCCGTGCCGTGCGGGTGCTGCGGGGCCGCGGGGCTCAGGATCACGTCCCTGGCCACCCTGCGCTGCTGCTCCGCCCGCGCCTTCATCCGCTGGAAGATCTTGGCCGGCGACTCCTGCCCGGGCGGCTCCGGAGCGCGGCGCTTCGGCGGCCGCTCGGCGACGGGGCCGGGCCGGCTCTCGGCACCGGGCAGGCTCTCGGCACCGGCACCGGGCCGGCTCTCGGCACCGGGCAGGCTCTCGGCACCGGGCAGGCTCTCGGCACCGGGCCGGCCCTCGGCACCGGGCCGGCCCTCGGCACCGGGCAGGCTCTCGGCACCGGGCAGGCTCTCGGCACCGGGCCGGCCCTCGGCACCGGGCAGGCTCTCAGCACCAGCCCCGGGCCGCCTCTCGGCACCGGCCCCGGGCCGCCTCTCGGCACCAGCCCCGCGCTCGGGCCCCGCGAGCTGCGGGCCCGACGCGCGGCTTTCCGCAGCCGCGACGCAGCCCTGGCCCGGCAGGAGCTCCTTCAGCGGGGTGAGCGTCCCCACGGGAATGCTGCTGAGGGACACCGAGCGGAGCGGCGCCGAGCGGCGGCTGGGCGTCGTGATGATGTCGCAGACTCGCCCACAGCGCTGCCGGGCGAGTCCCGGTCCCCTCATGGCTGCGGCGCGGCCCGGCCGCTCCGGCGGCGCTCCCGGGCCGGCTCCACTTCCCTCACGGCGCCCCGCGCGCAGATTCGAGCGCAGCCGCTGCGCTCACCGATTGGCGGAAGAGAGCGCAACCACGGGCCGAGACCATCTCGCGCGGGTGCGGGGGTTGTTAAGAAATAGAGCTGTTGCCGGACGGCGTTGAGGCGGGCGGCAGCAGGCCCGGGCTGTGCCTGAACTCCCCTCTGCTTGGCACGGTGGTTCGGTCCGGCCGTGGGCGGGCTCCGCGACCGTTGGCGCTGACGCGAAAGGGCGGGCCGGGGCTGAGGCGGAGCCGGGACTGAGGCGGACCCGGGGCTGAGGCGAGCCCGGGGCTCCAGAGCAGCGCCCGTAACTCACAAAGAGCCCCGGCAGCCTCGTGGTGTGCCGCCGGGGCTCGCTGGAGCCTTTCCGGCTCTTTTTGCGGGAGCCGGCCGAGCCCCGTGCACAGCTCCGTGCCCCAGCCCCGAGCGCGGCCCGGCGGGCCCAAGGTCAATAACGAGAGGTGCGAGGGGCCCGGCACAGCCGAGCGAGCGTGCGGGGCTATCAAATAAACCCATCAGTGCACGCTATTAGTTGATAAATAGTACGTTTAATTAGCGCTCTGGCTCTGCTCTGTCCCGGCTGGGAGAATCTGTAGTAGGGGTTCGTAGTTCAAGTGGCAAACGCTTGAGTGATGCATAAAAAATAGAGGAAAAATGGGAATGCCAGGTGTAGCCAGCAGCCTGGCTCTCCCTGCTTACAGGCCGCCGCAGTGGGATCAGGCGTGTCTGATTCCCAAATGAGTCCCAGCAGGTGGGTTAGAAACTCAGCTCTGGGGCAGAAATGACTTCAGCGTGTGCCTGTTAATCATAAACAGCGGTGTTCGAAAACAGGGTGTTGTTTTGGGGTGCTGCTCGTTACTTTGCAGCTCGTTACAATGATGAAAGACTTTGTGTTCATTGCAGGAGATGCATGTGCTAATTAATAAATGAGGGAGGTGTGCTTGCTGCTCCCCGGAGAGCCCAGGAGAAGGAGCCCCAGGGATGCAGGGCTCAGAGGCAGGTGAGTGTCAGGGTGGGGGGCCATGGAAACACCAGGAATCTCTGGATTTCCTCTCCTGGCGTCTGGCCCTGGCTCCCGCTCCCCTGCTGGTCCTGCTGGAGCCTCCCAGGGAAGAACGGGGCTGGCAGATCTGTGGGTGGAACAGGGAAGGAGAGCAGGGAAAAGTTACAGCAGGGATAGCAAGGTGTGTTTAGGTGTTACATCAGTTAAATGTCTGATTGTGGTTTCTGATGCACTGATTTCATACAGCTGGCATGGCTTCATTTGTCCTTAAAAAGCCCAAAAAAACCCATTCCATCCATATTTTACTCCTTATATTTTATGATGTCTTAGTGCTCCCATACTTCTTATCTACTCAGCTTTTGCCTAAATGATCAAAAGCAAAGAAAATTCATTTTGCTCCAGTTATTTGCAGAGGCCACCATTGTGCTTCCTTCCAGGAACAAAAAAGAATCCACAGGCAGTCAAGCGAGGAGAAATTCCTTCTTTCCAGGAACAAATGTGTGTGTGAGGTTTGTGGGTGTAATCTGGGGAGCTGTGGAGTTCCTACCAGTTTTGTTAGAATTCCTAAGCTTGGTTAGCATGGCTGAGCAGGTCTCCTCTTCTTTATGTTACCAGATGCCAGTGGAGCTTCCCAAATGGAATCCCAGATTGGTTGGGGTTGGAAGGGACCTTAAATCCCATCCCATTCCCACCAAGCCCCAGTGTCCAGCCTGGCCTTGGGCACTCCAGGGATCCAGGGGCAGCCACAGCTGCTCTGGCAATTCCATCCCAGCTCCTCCCCACTCTCCCAGCCAGGAATTCCTAATTCCCAGCACCCCATCTAAATTTCCCCTCTGGCAGGAATACTCTTTTTTTCATAAATGGCATTTCTTGAATAATTTTTAAGCTTGTTTGCTGTTTGTTCCACAAAGGAAGAGAATCAGGTGCATTATTCAGTGAAGAAAGACTAATCCAGACTAAGCAGGGAAAGCTGTTGAGGGTAAAAGAGTTAATTTGGTTTTTGTAGAGTGTGGGTGGTTCTGGGGCAGGAGCACCTGGAGACAATAAATGCAAATTTAGCTCAAGGCCTCTGAGTGAGGTCTCAGCCTCAGCAGCTGCTTGTGCTGTGGGTTTAAAGGGAGAAATGTGGGTTTGACTGGGATTTATCCATGTGCATCTCAGCACTTACCAGAAAGGACCTAAAACTGGGAGTCCTGCTGCTTCTCTTTGGGAAGGTGCCTGATGCCAATTAAAATCTTTCTAGAAAAAAAAAAAAAAGATTTAATCATGGGGCAAGGATGATGATGATATTGTAAAGAGTTTTCCAAGCCCTCCTTCCAGACTTCTGCCTCTTTAGTTCCCAGTGGAGCTGCAACCCCTGCAGCTGAAGCTTCCTGCCTTGGGTGGATCAGCTGCAGGAATTCAAGCCCAAAAGTCTGTGGTGTGGATTGTACAGCCCAGCCACCCCAGTGAGATCTGCAGTGTGGGGTTACACTGGGAAAAACCCCAAAACCCTCCTTGCATGCTGTTTGGCTGAGGGGTGTGTGCTTTTTCATGGGAATATTTAAGGGTTATTATTATTTATTTAAGGTTTTTCCCTTTTTTTTTTTGGGAGGTTCTTTTGACAAGTCTTGTCAATCAAATTCTGTGGTGTGGATTGTACAGCCCAGCCACCCCAGTGAGATCTGCAGTGTGGGGTTACACTGGGAAAAACCCCAAAACCCTCCTTGCATGCTGTTTGGCTGAGGGGTGTGTGCTTTTTCATGGGAATATTTAAGGGTTATTATTATTTATTTAAGGTTTTTCCCTTTTTTTTTTTTTTGGGAGGTTCCTTTGACAAGTCTTGTCAATTAAACAATCAATCCTGTAAATTATATATATTAAGTATAGAGGTGCAAGAATAAATGTTTGTTCAGTGTTTTGGGATCTTAAGTCAATTAATTGCATGTCTGGAAGTAAAACCCCAATGTTTCTTTTCTTTGGAGCAACTGGAAGAAAATAGTTATATTTCATATATTTATACATATATAGGTTTGGTTTACTAGTGACTTTAAAATGCAGAAATACAGAATAATCTTCATTAAACCTAAGGAAACCTTTTCCTGCTGCAAGTTCCTGCTGGATTTCATTGTATCTCAGACTGACAGAACACCCCACACTGTGCTTAGGGTGTTTTATTCTTATTTCTTCTTTTCCTCCTCTGGGTTAGGATTATTTATGTTCTCAGCCAGCAGCTCGGGGGGTGGAAGGAGGGAGTGGGAAAGGAGGTTGTGCTTTAGGGACGGCAGAAAAATAACCAACAAAAAATTGAATTATTGCGAGTAGCAGTGCCGGGGCTGGGGTTCCCTTTGGGAACATTTCTGCATCCCGGGAGAAGCTGGGGCTGATCCGGAGGGAAGGAGGAGCGCCGAGGTGCGACGGCAGAGGAGCGCTGTCCCCACGAGGTGGCAGGAGCTGCCTTCCTCAGCCATCCATCCCTCCATCCCTCCATCCCTCCATCCCTCCATCCATCCATCCCTCCATCCATCCGTCTGTCCATCCATCCATCGCCGCCGGGGATGCCATGGCTCTGCTGTGCCGCTCACGGAGCTCAGGCTGGAGCTCAGGAAAGGCTCTTCCCCAGAGGGTGCTGGCACTGCCCAGGCTCCACAGGGAATGGGCACGAGGCTGCCAGAGCTCCAGGAGCCTTTGGCCAGCACTGCCAGGGATGCCCAGGGTGGGATTGCTGGGGGTCTGGGATGATCCCTGTGGGTCCCTTCCAGCTCAGGACATTCTGGGTTTCTGTGAGTGATTTGAAAAGGAAGCAGCCCCAACTCTCTCTCTGTTCTGGAAGCTGTCACCTCTGTAAGAAAACTGTGCCTTCCTTCCCTCCTACCTGGAATGGTTTTGCTTTCCGTGTTTCCAGCTGCTGCCCTCCCCAGCTGGAGTGAGGAGCAGCCTTCCTGAGGAACAGGTACCCCCACGGGCTCCCGAGGGCCCTCGGTCCTGTCCCACACTTGTCACAGCCTGAGCTCATTTTAAACCCACCTCTCATTTTCCCACTGCTGCTGGATCCATTCCTTAATATTCCCTGTAGTGCTTGGCTGCTGCTTTCTTGTTTCAGTGCACGAGTGTTCCTGGCCAGTTCCTAACCCCTGGTTCTCGTGCTGGTTCCACTGATGCTCTCCTTTCCCAGAGATTCTTTCCCTGGAGAGCAGTCCCAGCTGGAAGCAGTGAGCCAGGCACTGCTGCAGCTTCTGGACAGCTTCTCTCTGAGTTTGGGGTTTGGAGCTTTGCCTGCACAGGAGCAGGAGGAATTCCCTGTCCTCCTTGACATAAATAGGGCAGGAGATCTTTCTCCTTTTCAATGCCTTTATTAAAGAGATTCAGCTCAGGTGGGGAGAAATCAACGGGTCGCGCCCACGCCGCCGCTGTCCCCAAGAGTGGCACGGAGGAGGAGGGTGATGCAGCTCTGTCCGCTGGTCTGCAGGCAGAGCTGGGGACTGCGTCCTCACGGGAGATTCGCAGATTCC